ACAGTGTACTCCCAGGCCTGTAGCCGGGAAGGGGGGGGGGGGGTTAGAAAGAACTGCCCTGTCAAGAAAAGGTCCATTCTGGGTAAAATTTGATCTAGGTACACAAAGGTTTCATTGGAAAAGGTCCACTTATTCAGAAAAAGAACCCTCCTTTTGAAATTGCTGGCTATGGGCCTGATTCCTATATATTAATTCCTATGTACAAAAAGTAAAATGTGGTATGGTATGGTGTGGTATATAGTGGTAGCTCTTTTAAAGGTAAGAACAAATGAAGGGCAGAACACAGGTGATTTAGTGTGAAGGTATTAGTGTATTTGGTCTTTCATTGAAGACGAGACATGGCTCCCGACATGTGTAAACATGATCAAGCTCCAATGGGAATGCTTCTATTATCAATTCTATCTCATGAAGAAACACCATAGACCAAAAGCAACCGAATCAAGTCCCAGACTTCACTTAATATAATAGATGAAATTCAACTAGCGCTAAATTAAGATAAATATCTATCCATTTCTGGGTGTATCAGGAACTTTCTTTGGTTCTCATCTTTAAGCTGTAAGCTGATATTGTAATAACAGAGGCTGGGCAAAATCAAGTAGGATCAGGATATATAATCTCATGTTTCTGTAAATGGAATACTCGAAAATGTCATTTCATTGTGGTTGTGTAATGTTGATAATACAATAAAGCGTCCGGTGACACCCACAGAAATATGCCGTTTTACAAGTAAAAGAAAAAGCACCCGACGACAGGGATCGGCTGTGACAATAAAAACGTCCCCACTACTTTTGTGGATTTCATGACTCACCTGTTACAACAATACAAAGGCCGAAATGTACATATCACTTCAGTGCATTTACCTTTCGACTTTGATTTCCGATTAAAATTTTACCTAATGTGACACTGACCACAGGTATGTGGATCCTTCAACATGATGTCCGTTTAGTGGAACACTGTAAATGTGGCAATATAATACATTTTTCGAGAAAATAAAAAAAAATCGCACATGAACTGATAAATGACAACTTTCAAGTCCCAACTCGCCCACGTTGTTCAACCTACCTGAGGTACTCTTGGAGACACGAGTCACAAAATCGGTGGCCACAGACTGTTATCTGGACTGGTTCTCTCATAGGAAGGCTACATAGTGGACACGTTAGCCTTCTGGACACCCTTTCGGTAAAAGCGTAGTCGAGTCCTGGCATTTTCTGGCACAACTTACATCTTCCCCTCACGCGTATAGTATTTTTTGTTGACACTCGGGTTATGGAGCCGTTACCTACAACGCGGGGGTGTTAGACTACTAAAATAATAAAATGAGAAATGTATCCTTTCTGTTGGCACATGTTCTATGCATAAAAAAAGCATCTGAATACATTTCACTTTAAAACAGATTTTATCAATATCTATACAATTTGCTTAACATAGCAACACTTTCAGAATCATCCATCCACCCCTATTTATTAGAAGAGTCTAAATCTCAAAGATCATGAACTTCCGTCTTCAAGATAAGCCCGTCCCAATCATACGGTTATAGGACTAATGTTGGTAAGCGGCAACACTTGTCAAAGCTATGTCAATTTTATAAATTATTGCAGTAAAATATTGATGGTTTTGGCCAATGTACAATGTTTATCGGCGTTAATGATATGTTTTTAGATAATTTCTGACCTAATAATTCAATTTTGAATTATTTAAAAACACGTCACGAAACACGTACCTCCCACACGCGGCTGAAACGAACACACACTACAAAATACGCTTGCACAAACCTAAGATCTAATAAACGGTATATTAGATCTTAGCACAAACCTTTTAATCAAAAAATGTAGTGTCAACAGAGTTCAAACAGGTTGAATGTTTCGATGTCCATGCACTGACATTAGGAAATTGCCATTAGAAAAAGGTCGGATTAAAGGGAAAGGTGAAGAAGTAGGGACTTCGCTCTCCCTTTCCAAAGTTGACCTATATGCCGGTGTGAAAGGAATGCATGTCCCCCAGGAACGGATGTCCTCTGGACCTCCGTTCCTGGGAAAACATGTCCTATGGCCGTGCGTTCCCTAGGATGTACTGTCCTACCCGGACCTAGATTCCCAGCTGTATTTATACGCAGCTAGGACATGTATTCCTGTCGGACATAATTTCCTTTCACATATACACAGAAACGCACGTCCTACATAATTAATGTCCGCACAATAATTATAAACACGGGGCTATAAGCATCGGTAATTTTCGGTCGGCTGGCAGCAGCTTCCACACAGGCTCATCAGTAAGACGGCTGGATGAATAACCAAGAGCGTAGAGAAACGTAAGTGAGTTCGAATCCTCAGCAACGTTGTTATTCTATATGCAAATTTTATCCTAATTTATTCACTGTTTCAACGAACAAAACGCATTATGTAGTTTGTTATATAATTTGGATTATATTGATGAGGCGAGATTTTAAATGTTTGATTTAAATATCATCATTTTTTTTAACTTTGAGCTATTTTAGAATTCCTTTAATAACTCGAGACCGTGGCCGAATTTCATCGGATAATTATACGCAAAAGTGAAATATGCTTTCTACTTTCACCTAAAAATACAAAGAATTAGAACGGGAAATTCAGGATCCATATGTAAAGGAAAAAATGCGCTCTGAAGAATGTTAAGACTAAAAGTCAAAATGCATGTATAAAAAATAACAGAAACATTCAATTTAATTATCTTACAACTATACACATTTAATTTACAGTCTCAAACTGCATATTATGTCTAACTACAAATATTCCCAATGATCATCAAGTCACCAAGTATAAAATAATAAACTGTCACCCGAACGATATGTATACCTGTACCAGAACAGCTCGAACGTCATCGAGAAGTGTTCAACACGTATTTATAAGCGAGCAAATCGCGAAAAGGTGGCTGTGTATTATTTCACACACTCATATTTCACCATAAAACACCCCGTAAAACGTATAATGTGATGTGTATAAGGACAAAAAACATATTGGTTAGAAATAGGTACGAGCCAAAATCCAAAGCTGTGTATCACAGACATATAGTTGTATATGTGAATGACCGCTTAACAATAATTAAGACATTAATGTAATGTGAACAGGCCGAGATATTTCACAAGGTACAATGAATGGCGTGAATCTCATATTTTTCATATTAATCGGAAATATATATATATCCTAAATCTAAAATTAATTTGAAGTTTTTCGTTTATTTAAAATATCTTAAGTTAGCCGAATGAAGTGTGTATAGGGATACATATATACAATTATAATAAGTGTAATATCATTCTTAAACATCACGTTTAAATATTAATCTTCTGAAATTAACACATCATTCATATGAAAATGAGAGAGGACATCTATTACTAGTCTATCTGGGAGAATATGCCCGACTAGGACATCGATGCCTGTCTGCAGGACTTAGAATACTAAGTAATGGGTGTCCACTGGACGTTAAATCCCAGTAAATTATGTCCTAGGACATGCGTTCCTAGGAATGGAAGAGCCAGGACATGCATTCCCAGGACTTAGTGTCCGCAGGACACTCATTCCTAGGAATACATGTCCTACGGACATGCATTACGGCGGACATCCATTCCCTTCACACCGGGTAGGCCTACAGCACCCGCTCCATCCCAGTAGTGGGGAGGAGACACAAGCTAGGGCCCAGAGGCATTTGGTTTTATTTTTATATTAATTAATTAGTTTATTTTTTCATTAATTTATTTATTTATTATTATTATTATCTTTTTTTTTTTTTTTTTTTTGAAACCGCTGCACATCGCATAAAAGTTTTGAGAATTATTTTTCTAGGGGGAATGGGAGGGAAGAATTAAAATTGTACCCTGGGCCTGTTTGTACTACATCTAAACAAGTGAAAATAACACTTTATAATGGAAGTCTGCCAAAGCGAAAGTGTGTTAAGATACATTAGCTCCTGCATCATATACAGGGTGGTCCATTAAAAAAAAAGACTTTTTTGCTTTCCATCCCAATTTAAAATAGGTCGTTTTTTATGGACCACCCTGTGAATTATCGGTTTTTGTATCAATTGCACATATTACATCAATATAAAGACCGGCCACATTGTGTAATGCTGACATTGAAGAGTATAATGCTATAGAATTCTTGTGCGATTACGGATAATATTACGGCAGCGGCAAGACCGCGATGCAATAGTACCAGAACTGCTATCAGTGTCAAGGAATCGACGATTTAATTTACCTTGGGGACGCTTGGTCTCCCTGGATCACCCAGTGATATGGTTACTCACGTCGTGACGTGGTAATTTAGCATGCAATCACCGTATCACTTTTAATGAAATAAAACCATTAGCCTATTATATATATCGTCTTCCCGCCGTCAAATAAAATTCTTGGACGACAGACCTAAAAGGAGGCGTCACCCAAGCTTGGTCGATCTTGTGAATTCGGTATATTTTTGTTGCCAGCGTCTGCAGTACCCTAGATGGTGGCAGATGATACATTCAACATTCGCAAACGATATTGAATACCTAGTGGTCGAAAGCTCATCTCAATTAAATGCAAGGAATACAACTGAAATTATTTGCGCATCCTTCAAAAGTATATACGTATATTCTTCACTGAACCATTCATTTCAGGGGAAGATGGTCAGCGCTAAGTTTTGTATAAGTGCGCAATAAACAGAGAGCGTCCCGCCATACCCAGAGTACCAGTTAACTGACACGAATAGAGTAGATATATTGGTTTTTTATTCTCCCTAAAGGCCATCCCTGTTTTGTACATACGCGATGTTTGGAACGGATTGACTTTTTTTTTGCGCGAAAACGATCTATCGACGTATTTAGATGGAGCGTGTAATTAAAGCAGCCATCGCCATAGCCATTAATGACAGGCAGTATATATGAGGCTTTAGGCGTCTTCTAACATTAGGCCTACCCACCTCCTTCATTCGACAAATATTGCTGAAATACACATTTTCTTCCAGATAATAAGTTTTTAAACCACACTGTTTTTTTTTAATTGTGATATGCAAATCACTCTTCTGTAACCAAGACATATATTCAACCAATATATATATTGGATAAAGTGGAACAGGTGTCTGTTTCTTCGGTTCGACAATCACGATCACGTTATAGAACAAATGCGGTTGCTGGGCCAAAGACAAAGCAATCCAAAGTGTTAAATGTGTTTCATCACGTATCGCAACTGAAGCAGTTATTCGTTATTCAATTACTTAAGGCAAATTCAGTACGCTCACATGATGTTAAATCTAATGTTGCACAAACCACGATGAGAGCAACTAACGCATAAAGATACTCATCAACTTGGTTGGCTCTAATAACTACTTTAGAGAGACCCCGCGCGTTTGTTTATTTAGCAGAGAGGAATTAACTCTTTATACGTTTTTTCTGAACTAACAGGTGCGGGAGTTAACTACATGTAAATGATTACATGTACATTCCATATCTCTATCCATAAGGATATTGTCACCCTTTTCCTAAAACTCCTTATTTACTACCTTACATACATTCTCTTGGATAACAGATAAATCTTCAGTGTTCAGTGACTAAATTAATTAACACTGTCATGCATGTCATCTTACGGAGGACGTCATATTTGCGATTTTGGGGTAAAAATGGGAAAATCGGTTTCTCAAATTTCTCCTTAACCTGAGCACCCACGAACCTGCTTTAACGCCAATTTAGAGACACCATTTAATACTTCAAAATCCGGCCAGCAATTTTTCTTAATAAAAAAGTTGAATTGTTGAATAATTAAATGCAAGAAAAACTTATTTTCGGTATCTGGATAATAATAAAGGTTTGCAATACCCTTAAAAGCGCCAGATATTCAAAATGAATTTTCATAGGTTCATAGCAATGGTTCTTGATTAGCATCGTGCAAATCTATATTATTCTCTTTATCCATAATGGCGTCTATTAACAATTTCCAGAAAAGCTGCTGTCCCCGTTCCTGCTCGGTCCATTTTATATAACCTCTGACTGTAATGTATTTTCTAAGTGTTCTGCTCATGTCAGCGATGGGAACAGTTCCTAACATTACAGGTATGACAGTATGATAACCCCTGGCTAGAGACATCTGAAGCTCCAACTCACACCATGAATTTTGAATATAAGCTGTAGACACCACAAGTATTGTTTTTCTACTGTTATCTACAGCTTCAACAATCGCCTCAGTTAAAGCAGCTCCGCCAATGAAATCTCGTTGGTCGATGATGGTGTCAAGACCGTGGTGATTTTCTAAACGCTCCACCAGCACGGTTCGCACCCAATCAAAGTTTTCCGCGTCGTATGAAATGTACACGTGGCCACAGGGTCCATTGTCATTACGTTTTCGAAGCTTCCGGCGGAAAACGTACAGTCTGTATCTGCAGATAAAAAAAAAAGATCTTTAGGATAACTAGCGTAGTTATGCGGGCCTACAGTTTTATAGATAAAGGATTGATTTTATAATGATAAAATGAAACACTGGGACACTAATCTTTTAAAAAGAATGAAATCTTTGAATTTCATTACAGCCATCTATACTTTTAGTCTACCACTTTTAATCATAGTATTAATTCCACTACCACCATCAATAATAATAATAATAACAATGTCTCAGTATTATCTTTTAAGGTCTTTTTCGTGTGACAAATGAAATCTATATAAACATTAATAATGGTATGTACATAGCATATACTTACTTAATATTCCATCGGTACACGTATGCCATAACCATTGCTGGTATTGTTACACAAACAAGGATTATCGTACCTGCAAGTGTTGCCGCTGAGATGTGAGCTTGCTTCACCGTGCCATCCGCCTTGCTGCATCTGTGAACTAATGAAGACAGATCGAAACTGTGTGATGCGTTACCTCGTCCTATGCACGGGTATTTGTCAAAATCCATCAAAAAAGTAACATTAGTCTGTTGTGTCCAAATGATGAAATCTATTGCATCACAACTATCGCAGTCAAATGGGTTGTTAGTTATGTTTAACTGAAAAGGCCTTTTGACGATATCAAGAGATTCCATTAACGGTTTTGGTAAATACTTCAATTTGTTATTTGATATATCTAAATATTCCAAAGCTAAAAGCGCGTTTAAGTCTGTTGACATGTTTACGATTGCATTGTCCCTTAGAATTAGATGTTTTAGAGAAACAAGTCCTTGAAAAACTCCATTCGGTATTTCATCAATGTCATTTGCTGATAAATCAATAATTCCTAAATGGGTCAAGTTTGAAAATCGCAACCGATTCTCTCTGATTGATGCCCCGAGTTTATTTCGCCCAAGATACAAGTATCGCAGAGCTCGGAAATTTGCAAAGAAATCAAGCGGGAATGATTCATAGCCGTTATTAGAAATATCAAAATATTCTAACTTATTTAATCCATAAATATTTGTGCACACCCAGGGGCTGTGTAGTCCTTGGTTTTCTGACCAATCAAGATATCTCAAACGATTAGGATAGACATAAACGCTGCCCTTTGCACAGCCACCATGGAATCCATCAGAAGGCCAGGACTTTGCAGATATGTATTCCATGTTCGGCGGTATTGTAAGTTTAAGGACGGGGAAATCCATTTTATACTCGAGGTCCGCTTGGGATTCATTTGGCGCTTGACTGGGTGGTGACCTTGTGTCTGGCAAAATCATTGGTGGCCGGTCGTTCCACAGTGCATATGACGGTCGGCAAGGTGGAGAATTTATGGTACTCTTGATGTTATAGTCTACTCTGAAATATCTCATACTCGCCATCAAAGATAGTGATGTTTGTATGAATGCGTCGCCAGAATGAATAATTTTTTTGTCCCTTTTAACAGTTAGCAAATTGTTGTGAGATATATCTAAATACTCCAAATACGGCAAATATTTCAGAAACTGTATGTCTAGTGAGGATATCCTGTCATGAACCAATTCCAGCGTGCGGAGCTTTGAGTTCTCAAGGCACCGGAGGAATTCAGATGATATATGCACGTCTCTTTCACCATCTCCTTCCTTTACAGCCCCATGGTGTATCTCAAACATTGAGTTTGCGATAATTGTTTCAATTCTTGACGCATTTTGGAACTCACACAATGTCTTCTCTAGTGTTTCCGTTGAAATAAACTTCTGACAGGAAAGATCAACCGCACGTAATTTCGGAAAATAAGATAGCGCTCCACGTTCTATATCACCAATTGAATTGTCAACCATCGACAACCTTTCGATGGGAGAATATAGTAAATTTTCAAAAACGTTTCTACGAAGCAAAGGAAGCCAAGGGCGTTTTCCTAGTTCTAAAACCTTCAGAGACGTCAGGTTTAAGTAACCTTTGCCAAATATAGCGTCATTAGTGACGACTGAGGGTAACACAAGATGCTCAAGGCGGTGAAGATGTGAAAGGGTTCGGTCCAAATAATTATCATCGATCCGCACCGCTTGGTCTGTTTGTCCAAAATTCAGGTAACGCAGATTTATAAGATTTTCGAAAAGATTCTCCGGCAATGCATCATACGTAAAATCACCTCCAAATCCAGACAGATCTAAATATGCCAAATTTTCCAAACCCACAAAAGTGTCAGAATGAAATCGCCTTATCTTATTTTGGCTCAAAGACAGTGTTTTCAATTGCCGTAAGTACGTGAAAGCTCTTGCTGGTATGTGTGTCAGATTAGTGTTGCTCAAGTCCAGACGAACAGTTCTAAATGGGAAATCCTGAGGAATTTCACTCATCGGGACTTTGGAACAGTTGACTAGCAGTTCCGGTGATCTTAGAACCAGCGAAGTACAAACGCACCGACTTGGGTATGAGTTAGTAGTTTGCATTAGAGCCAAAAGCCAATAAATGACGACGATCGGGAATAATTGTTCGATTTCACAGAGTTTCTTTCGTGTCATTTTCACAATTGAAGTTTCTTGACTAAAATTCAACATAGATAAATCTGAAAAGAGGAAAATAAAGTGATATAAATGTGAAAACCTTATCTTATGTCCGTCTTCAAATAAGAATGAAACTTAGGGAGCGTTCCCATAAACCCATTGTACTGGCGGGATCGATCTAACTGTTCGGGAATTTTCGCTTAAATTGGAATTAGTATGAGCGGCTTAAATGTCTGGTACGCCTATTTAAGCTGCTAGGGGGAAAGTAACGATAGTCAGTTACCCACTAGTTACTCGAGGGGGGCGTGCCAGACAATTAAGCTGATTATATTGAAAGCACTTAAGAGAACCCTGCAGAGCTATATCGATCCACCTATAGTGCAATTGGTTAACGAGAACGCAGTCTTAGAGAGACAAGTTTTGTGGCAAATTAAAGTGAGTTTTGTAGTTTTTTTAACATCATGTAACTGAATAGGTCTTGACCGAAATATTAACACGTAGCGCTACAGGTGAAATGACTTATTGACGTTAAATGTGTTTTTGACTAAAATGTTGAAATATTGTACACATGGGATACCTAAGGAAAATTAACAAAAGTACATTAAAAGGATGCTAATTATAATAGTAATGACGATATTTGTAGTAAGTATAGAAATAAAAAAAATGATAAAAATAAAAAGCAAACAAACGGCGACGGAGGCCCGGGCCTGATTGTTGATCTGGGTGTTTGAAATTCAGAAATTCATTCTTATAAAATGAGTTCAATTTGTAATTATTGGTTGTTGGTTCGATCAAACTACAGTTCTGCCTCTAAGCTTTCAACAGACACAGTAGATACTTAAGTATTTGTCAACAGCAATTACACTACATAAGTAAAAAAAGTACATTTACTTACACGGGCAATATCCACACACAGAATGACTGAATTATTGGCCAACTTCAATAAAATGCACAAAACCATCTTGTCATTTAAACGTGACTAAGTAAATTACACTTAATTGCAATCGGAAGAAGAAGTTTAATGGGGTCTGTGTTTCTTATTATTGTCCTATTGATTCGTTTCTTAAATTAGACACCAACATTAAATAGTTGCTTGCGTCACAAAACTGAGTAAGCGAATATTTCCTGCGCGAGTTTCTTTCACGGAACTCATTATTGTCAACACCCCTAAGGTCAAGCCTCGTGCGCAATATCACCATAGGTTTAACACTTAAAATACTAAAACGAGACTTTTGTGTGGAAAAAGTGATTCATACCCTTTTCTCGATGCACTGTATTTTTAACTTACTTATTGACTATTACATCTTATTTTCAAAAAAATGAGGTCGGTTTCTTTTTTATTGGTGTTGTTAATTTTTGTTGTGACATAGTTAAATAAGACATGCGTCTCTTGTAAAAATATGTTACTAGATCGGTGAATTAACGAGTTGGACCCTAACTATTCTAACTTTTTCTACATTTTAAAACAAAAAAGGGGCATCTCTCTACGTAATGTAGAATTTCATACAAACGTTTCGAAACAAATGAAAACGAACTTTCGCGTTTGTCGCTGCTTATTCATTTGAGGATAACCAAATGCGGGTTGTAAACAATGGTTTATAGTCTTAAGTTTTTGGGAATACGCACGATTACGAAAGATGATAAAAGGTTGGGCAATGAATAAAATAAAAAGATGAATAAGTGTAAAAAAGGAGGCGGGAAATTCCCATCTTGCCAAACATTTGTAAACGCATAGGTAATCTTAAAAGAAGCTAAGATTTAAGTCAATGAGAGTACCCATATTATCCAAATAATATTATTATGAAAAATGTGTACCCCTCCCTTTCATTTCTGTATTAATCTTCTCTATCTTTCCTTTTTGGTTTAGCAAATCGTGCTTTATTAATAGTACACGAAGTTTTCTTTAACAAGATCACATTTTCCTTTTAGAAGTAAATTGGTGTTATATTTGCAACGAGGATTGTGCATTTTGCATTCAAGGTAGAAAGCGGAACTCTATGATACTTATATCACCTGAGTCACCCGCATACCTGGCGGCCATGATACTACATCTACCTGTTTACACCGCGACACAACCTGCCTGGCCAATCAGAGAGAGCCTTTTTACCGGGCGCTCAAGAGGTCACCTGAGCTTATAATAGCTGAACCTTTATTGACTCAGCTTTGAAGGGGCTCTCTGAGGTGGTGGTAAACAACTTGACAGACATTAATGTGTATTGTTCTTTTGATCTATTTTTTTCATGGCGAGCATTTTAAAGATTTATGTAAAGATGTTCTTTTCTTTCAATTCATTAAAACCGCAAGTTTGATAATTAGCCCACATTTTCACACCAAGTAAACAAGAACGAATTGACTTACTTTTACAGACTTATCAAAACCTGATTGTCACTGTTGCTTTATTCATAGTTTAACTTTCTCTTTCTCGGTGTCTATGAGCCTTTTGTCACAATTGGAAACATGAGCTTAAAAATATCATTATCAATTTTCTTATTCAAAGTGATTCAGTCATAATGGTTCCAGATGATGTGTATGTCCTTAAATACTTGGTTTCAGCTTCTGGGTAGCTTAGGACAGCCCACTTACACTACCTGTGCCTACCCCCTTTATCCGGCCCCTTTCGTTTAGCACACCTGAATAACAATGACCGGCCATGCTGTCTCAGCCTGAAAGCTATTTCAGTTATCTCGATTTGAATAGGTGACTCACAGCGGCCATCTTGAAAAATTATTACAAGGCTGGATATTTGAAATATCTCTGCTTTTAGTCTTTTTTATATGGCCATTTGACGAATATTTCCATGCTGTGAATATCAGGAGGGGAGAATGGCATACCAAGGAGCTTTGGCGGTGATTTTGGCAGCCGCTCTAGCCGTGATGGTGAACGGTGGACCATTCGATTGGATGACGGAGGATAGTTTTGACCAGCTAGACAGGATGATGAACGCGGTCACAGCAGAAAACTGTGAGACGAAGCCAGCTTCGGCTTTGAAACTACCAACCTCTGTGGTCACACATCAGCCGAGAGCCAACGATTTGCTCTCCCAAAAATTCTTTGCAAACAGGACTAGCATGATTCATTTGCATAACATGGCGCTCAGTCGCTCATTTTATCTCAGTTATATGAACTACAAGGCAAACGAGTCTTGGAATTTCGGCCAACAACCAGGATTTCTATATTATTACATGTCTTTAGCAGCAGATGTAGGAGCCAATCCTGGATGGATAAACGGGAGCTCGGTGTATTTCGAGTACAACCTCACATTCCCGAATTTTTACAGCAATTTGCCGCTCAATCACACGCTCCTTTTATTTGGTCCACACGCATATCGTTTGGACGACTATAAAGATCCGATGAACTGGCTCCGAGAGCCAACCAACAACACCATCAACGTGGTTGACATTGGGGCTGGTAGTGAGAGTAACTATACCAGCACTCAATATAAAACAAACGATTGGTACTCGCTTTTCTTACCAGATTTCTCTAAATCTGGAGACTCGTTGAAGAAGTTTACGTATTCATACGCAATTAAATATTCAAACGAAACTGGTAAATTTGTAAGCAATGAATTTCAAGAAAAGACATTTTTTGGTCCACCAAATCCAAGCGCATTGGAGACGCAGTATCTCCCTGTATTGTACACTGCTCCGTATTTTGACTGTGGCAAGACCAACAAGTGGATTATAAGCGCTGTGTCCCCTGTGGTGGATCACCTGTCTCGATATCATGACTTTGATCATATAAGACGACCAAGGTTTGTATTAATTTCAGTAGACACTTTTAAAAGTTGTCATCTTAAAAATAAAGTAATGCTTTAATTTGAAGCATAAAGAGGGGCTGAATAGACCGTCAGACGTATAAATAATCTCACACATACATTTCCAAGTTTGGTGCAGTTTTTTTTTCTTTTTTTCTTTTTTTTTTGGGGGGGGGGATTGATGAAAAATATTTTTAATGTTAAAAGTCTTTTATGCGGGATTTTTTAGCCAAATCTCTTTCCTCGAGAAAAAAGCAAATTTCTCCTACTCACGCCAAAATTCTTTCCTCGAAAAAAAAAAGAAAAGAAAATTTCTCCCACTCACGAATCATTGCTCAATCCATCCCTGGATTCGATGTTTTGTTCTATTTTTAATTAAATAACTTAGTTCTAAGCGAATCGTGATTCATTTAGTTTAGACCGCTGTATCTTCCTGACTTCAGCAGAGAATATCGACATAGGGCCTTTTTATTTGAAGTGTTTTGTCGTTTTAAGGCCTGGATTGGGAAAGATAAGTAGCTTTTGTTGGATATGTAGACACGAAAATATGACTTTGGGGCATTTTTAACGCGTATAGTATACCTTAAAGAGGAAATGTCCCTGTGGCATCAGTGTAAGTGAACATTTCCTCTGTTGATATTTGTCATGTAATTGATGCCATGAAGCTGTATTGTGATTAGTGTGTTCTGCGATTTCTATCCACCTTATCTGAACACTGTGCAATGCATACTTTGATACTGCTTTTAATTTCATATCGTTTTTTATTTTGAACTAAAAACATTTTTCAAATTCGCTAATTACATACCATGCCCAATACCGTTTAACTTATGTTCTATGTATTTTGAGCAGACTGTGCACATAACTCAAAATATTTATTTTTAAGAAGAAAAATCGAGATCGCAAGAAAACAATCTGTTTTTTTTTAACAGTAAGAGTAATAGGAACCAAGCAGCACTGAAGAACATATTGCCATTGCAGTGTAGATGGATTGTCGTTACCATGGTTATTAGTTATGTGGCATGCGATAGCACATGCACTCAATAGCGTTTAATAATCGTCGAAAGTTTTCGTCTTACCTCTGGCGTTATTCTCCCGCATGTCTTCTTATATGTGAAAACAATTCCGAAGAGTAAAACTGAAACTTGCAACAGATAGCCTGCAAGCAACAAACTGTGTGGATGCTTAATGTCTCCATCCTCGACTCAAACGATGCTCTTAAATTGTGACATTTTCTACTTTTTAGAAATATTTTATTTTAATTTTTATTTTTGGTCGTTTTTTTAAGTCAGAGAGAGATTGCTGTGAAGGGCACTTAACATGTTTTTACATTTTTGTTGACTTAAGCTTTGCAGCATATATAACTTTTGCTGTCATATAAAATTTTGTATCTATAGTTATCAGCTGCAGAGTTCTTTTGTTATCCACACACCAGTCGACAGTCACCAAGTGCAATATCTGTACCGGGTTGTTCTCATGCTCCGAATGTCTCACGCACATTGAATTGTCGGCAAGAGCTATTTTTCAATGATATAATGAAATACATAAATACTAAGATATAAAAAAGTTATTAAATTAAAGATAAAAATGAATGCTTGAATGGATGTATTTTAGGTACTCTGCGGTTGTTACAATGGATATGGATTTTCTGCGGATCGACTTCAATCCATGTCCAATAGGACAGGGAAATCCCATCCCCAACTTTCTGGCAGGGACAGCTCGCTGCAAACCCACCACCATGGTATGGAGAGTTGGTCCACATGGAGTGTGTGTGTGTGTGTGTGTGTGTGTGTTTGGGAGGGGGGGTATAAATCATAACTAAAGGGCCAGGGGTGTATGGGGTGGGGTTGGGAAACGATTTGGCAATTGTTAACTTGAGCATACTTGTTTAACTATGTCTTCCTAATAATAGTTGTTTGGTAGATGCCACTTATTACGTATATCAAATAATTGGAATAAACTTTGTAAGCTGAATGAAATAATAATCTCAAAACACCATACTCGTGGATATACTGCCATTCCTTTCTTTTTGATTCTTATGTGTAAGTTACATTTTCAAACAGTAAGATGCCTTTTCCTTTTGTTGTCAGTGTCAGCCGCTGTCCGGGTTCGGCTTTCAGCGTGGTGGCTACGAGTGTGTGTGCCGCCCAGGGTATCGCCTGCCACACTGGCAAAATGGCGCTTTCCAGGGAGTGGACATTGAACTCGCTACCACAGAAGAATACAAAAATGGCTTCGACTGTTTACCTGTGGGTTGTGAGTATCCATTTACAAAACAAAATTTCATACGTTATTGATTGAATTGGAGGCTGAGTATAACTGATCATCGCTGCCTGATCTTCACTGATAAGAGATGGTATAATGTCATTTTCTTTCAATTTTTACCTTCACTTTATTTTTTTTAGTTCCTGTATCACAGCAATTTATAAAACATTTCTATACAGGTTATTGCAAATTTGGGGATATTAATCAGGAATGGGACCGTACTTTTCCATCTGAAAGAGAATCCCAAATAATGTTGGAATCCATAATATCTTTTTTTTTTCTAGACCGCATGGTGGTCCCTCAAATTCAAAACAAAGAAGGTGGCCCATCCGGTGGTGTCATCGTAGAGAAATTTACTACTACTACTACCACCACGACCACCACCACTCCACGGCCTGTGACCACGACAGCTGCCCCCGTAACGCCCAGTAACAACACTTCTAGCGGGCGTAGGAAGCGAAGCATTGCCGCTCATGCTCCGAAAGATGTCCTGGACGCTATAGAGCTCAATAAAATGAGAGAAGAACTGAGAAAGAAGCGTAGGGTCGCCAGCAAAATCCGCCAAGAAGACGTCGAAATCATAAAACGCAATAAGAGGAAGATCAATAAGGAGAAAGAAAGACAAGAAGTCAAACGCCGACGCAAGCGAGAAGCTGTGGTTCAAGCCTTCAACGAGGAGTCCAGCATTCGTGTGAACCTTCTTATCGAAAAGATGGACAGTGTAACCAGTGCAAACTGCAGGTCCAAGACACAGGAGGAGTTAGAGCTGCCAGGAGATATGGCGTACGGGACAAAAGAACAGTTTGAAAGTCAGGGCCGCGTGGCTGTTCGTCTGGCCCAGTTTCTCAGCAACTTTATGCAGAACGTAGACGAAAAGGAAGATTTTGGAAACTTGTTGGGTGATAATAAGCTGCACGTGGAGCAGATGTTTGGCGAGGTTGGAAGTAACGTGATGGGCAATGTTGAGATCTCCGGTTGCGGTGTGTTTTTTGACCATAACAAATTCCTGGAAAGAAATGGCACCATGAGATCTTACTTTGGCCCTTATGCCTGGAAGTCCTTGGGAGACCAATATTTGGCTGTAGACTTTGCAGGTACACAAGTCTTCTTACATTTCTACTCGTCTTGTATCAGCCTTTATAATCCAAAATACAATCGCATTGGCAGATAAAAAGGTATTTAAAACACGCTGTAAAATTATGACAGTGGCAATCTACATATTACTCACTACGGAAATGTGAGAAAGTAAGTGCAATTCTTATGACTTTTACTCACTTTAAATCAAATTGTCTTTTTTTTCAAACAGGAGACCCAGAAGGCTATGCAGACGAGGTTTGGTTTTCAGACGTGAGAGACCGCTGGAGGGCCAACACCTACGGGCTGACGCGTTTTACAATGAATCCTTGGATGAGAGCTGATATTGCTGGTACGAATAACCATTTGTCTGAGATGTTATAGGCATTTAAAATTCTTGCCATTTAATTTAGTTCATGTTCTGAACAATTTTATTTTTATTTGGTGATAATAATTGTTTAAGCTGGATATTTATATATTCTCTCTAGGCACTGCACTGAGGAAATTTGACCAATATCCACTCTTCTACTATGCGGCTTCTTATGAGCTTGGGGAGTGGTTCGGGCCTTACTTTGATTGTGATGGATACGTGGATGATTGGCTCATGACTTACTCTGTCCCTTTCTTTGGTCTTAACTCCCTGAAAAGAATTGAATTCAAGTAAGTACGGCAACGTGTATTTGTCTCTATTCAGACAAGGAGGGAACATAATATTATTTACTTTTAATGCTTTCTCATTTTGGCCTAATGGAGACCTTCATTCCTGTTAAATTTATCCTAAATGTATACAGCGCCTACTGTTATTTAGTTTTTATTTTCTTGTGTAGAAAATAGCACACCTAAGATAATCTGTACTATGATGAAATTCCAATATTTTAGGGGCGTGGTCATCGTTGACGTAAAACTGCGAGATCTCGACATTAACCAGTGTCCCCAGGAGTTTTATGTGCCTAATGCTTTCAAAGGAACTGCACGTTGCGACTACGAATCCACATACGTAAGTAACATCTCCCTCTTTCTTTTTATTCTCAACAAATGCTCTTTATGTTTTTTGTACTAAAGGATAGTACAGTGTAACTGATGGATTTTTCATATTCAAAGACGCCAGTTTGCAGAGCAGAATTGAGAGCCTCTCTCTCTTGGCACTGGCGGAATGATCACGTGAAACTCCATAGTGATTTTTCCCTGGTGCCAACCGAGGTGGGTTCTACTAACAGCATGCCACATCTTCCCTGAGTGAGTGTTAGTGCTGAAGTTGTATGTTTCTTTTTCCTACCTTCACGATAACCCATATAACACGAATAACAGGCGACGCATTATAGATAAGAGTACTGGTTGAAATCAGCTATTCCTCATTCCACGGTGTTCTTTGAATTTAATCACATTATGTTTTTGAAAGAAATTTTAACTGTTTTTCATTTTACTAATAACTGCCGTGTTAGATTAAATTAATTGCGGATGGTCCAGCAACATGAAAAGCATACGAACAGTCGTCAGTAATAAAAAGGTGGTAATACAGACAATAAGCAGTTTTTTGTGGCCTTATAATGAAATTTCTTAATAGTAATCAAAACTCAGCAGTGATCAATAGATATTGAAGTCGCAATGGACAGCGTAATTGTAGGCTAACACTCAGTATTCACCTTATCTCCGTAAAGCGCCACGGGTGCTAGGGTAAATAGTACCAGCAGTCATATAATGGCTGATATTTAAGTGTGTCGACGTCGACTTGAGGGTGTCATTCATATGTTATCATTGAACCAGGTATTCATTTTACATTAACAGTGCAAATTCGAGCCCAGCCAGAAGTTTGAGAAGGGTGGTTACAAGTGTGAGTGTAAGCAAGGCTACGAGTACCCGTTTATTGATCAGGGATGGTACTTCGACGGAAAGGAAATGGAAGAAGAGTACAGGAAACTGAAACTGGGAATATTTTCAAGGTGAGTGTTCCCGCAAAGTACTCCCCTCACTTGGTACCGACATTGCTTGCTGAACGGCAATTTTAGGAACATGCAAGGCATATGTCTGTTTTGTGGACAAATAACCTTTATCTTTTTAAACCATGCAGATTTAGATAATAGTTTACCTTTGAGTCAAACGTAGACTGCCCAGCGCAGTGATTTGCTTATTTATTGCAAACTTAGTTACATATTAGCCTCTTTTTGTAAGCATTATTCACGTCATAGACTTCTATTTTGATCGTTGAATTAATAACCTAGGATTATGAAAGAAAAAAACTTGATACCTGTTTTTTTATTATCCAGATACGATACCCTCAAGTGTCGCATTGCTGGTGCCCCGAAGATAGCGAGCAGCGGAGTTATAATGACAGTGCTAGCATTAATGTACATGTTGCTGAAAGAGTAGTCAGTCTTTTTATATATATGTTGCCTGTGGCTGGCTCTAGCATGAATGCAAGAGCAGTTGCTCTTTATTTCAAGCATTTATCACAACTTGGTTTTATTAAGTACATATTCAGATATAGTAGATCTTTTGTAGGTTTTAACTATACATTATACTTAAATTTTATACTTTACAAATTTTAACTCTTTTTCAGTTGTCGACAAATGTTTTTATTTACAAACTTCGGCATTTTTAAAATTTGCGTGGAATGTTTTATGCTGCAGAGGACAGTTAATATTAATCAGAACTCGAACTGGTATATCAATAACATGAAATGGATAACGGTTCTTTTTTCATTGGTAGTATCCTAATTCTCGTTATTCTACCTGGATTGAGTGCGAGGAAAGAACTGTTTCCAATGTACATATGTTCAAAATATTTGATATTTTTGACCCGCACTAGTTTAATAGAAAATAGTGAAGAAAGCGTACTTGGTGCCATCTGTATATATATAAATATATATATATCAAAACTTTGCGTGTAAATATTTTCACATTCCGTTTGTTTGCACAAACTGCCTCTTGCCCACAAGATGGAGGTAATTAGTTATTTGAAAATTAATGTATTTGATTAGCAGTTGTGAAATTTTGTAGGCAACCATCCAAAATTCCTCTATGCAAGTTTATATAATCTGTGAAAACAAATTATTTTTCTAATCTAAGTATCAAGAGCTTTTTTCTTCTTCACAGTCTTTAAGTTTAGGTCTAGACAATGGAAGCAAAAATGAAATGCTGTACATATTTGACTTTGACTTAAAAGGTCTGCCTATAGCTTAGGAATGCTAAGGTTGGGAGGGGGGTCGCGGCCACTATCCATTGAAAATATCAAATATTGTGCGGGTGTGAATTCGTCAGAGGAGAGAGTTGTTTTCTCCATATGTTGCTGTTTAGATTCAATATAATTACCAGCACTGGAATCCGAATGCCATGGCATTTTTCAAGCACGACCTACGTACCATAAACTCGTAAGGATACTAAGACGTGAATTATACTTTTCGTATGTTTGATAAAATATTTGTACAGAGGTATTGAAAAGAACGTGTAGCGTCTTTGCTGAAAAGGGAAATCTATTGATGCGGAGATGAAGATAAAACAGAAATAAACGCATTTCTGGAAAATCGTTTTATTGATTTTCAATATAATTTATCTACTCTCTGTTAAAATTTCAGAAGATTTCACAATTGCGAATTCCTCTGACCAGCAAATAACCATCTAATTAAATCTGTGACGGTTCTTTTTAGTGTGATATATTAGTGCCTGGGTCACAAATGGGATGTTATAAATCCAGTGACGATTTTTCATGAGTTCAGATGCAACATGTACAAAAATTTGATATGACCGTGCACGTTATATCTTTATATTTATAAAAAATTCACATTTAACAATCTACTGACAACCACGGCATGCTTTTATTCAAAACCGTTGAGTCTAAAGAGAGATTAAAATGTGCCTGTGATGAATTAATAAAATATAATTGAAAATGACCGCAAATTTGTCTTTGCGTAAAAAAGTCAATTCTATAAGCATGAGATCAAATAAGAAAAAACGAATAAAAAACAACCATGGTTTGACAGCACGTGTTCTGAAGTCAGAAGAAATATAAAACATCTTGGAAAACTACTACTACTACTACTACTACAAACACACACACACACACACACGACTACATTTCACAAACCTACCACCTAGCTACAAAGAAATATAAACAACTAGTAAAGAAAGAATGAGTACAAAAATGTTATCCTAAATAAACTGGTGTCTGAAAAAAACCCCTAAAGAGTTCTAGCAAACTCTTAAAAAACTAAAGGATAGAGAAGAAAAAAAAACAACATAATTCGTCCTGAGATTTTGCAACAACATTTCCAACAACTTTGCGGAATTCCCCCTACTGATGATCAGCGAATAGATCGTGAAATTAGTAAATATGAGAGAACAGAAGGAGATCCTGTCCTTAATAACCCCATAAGCATTTGAGAAGTAAAAAACTTATCAAAAAAATTGAAAAATGGAAAAGCGACTGGTGAAGGCTCTATCAGAAATGAAATGTTATATGGATGTGAAATTGGGCACAATAAATCTCAGAAAAAATAATGTCATCAGGCCCGTAAGGGGGGAGGGATAGGTCCCCTCTGGATAAAATTTTAGCTACGTACACGAAGGATTCATGGTAAAAAAAGGTGCGATTTTTAAGAAAACTAACCCCACTTTTGAAATGGGCCTGGTCAATAAATAAAATAAGCAAAATGCCCTATGAACGTATACACTTAAAATGTGTAAATGGGCACTTGGTGTGAGAAGATCAGCCAGCAAAAATGCCTGTCGTGCAGAACCTGGGCGTCTCCCATTATACTTGGACACTGTCAAATTAGTATCAAGATACAGTGAAAGGCTGAATAACCTCCCAGAGCAAAGAATTTTCAAACAAGCCTACAACAGAGAACAAACAGAAAGGAGAAATAACTGGTTTTGGGCAATGTCATATTTGGTCCAATTGACAATAAAATCCACAATCAGCAAAATCTAGAGAATGATATAGCCATCAAAATAAAACAAGATTTTTGGGGAAGAGTTGCACAGAGAGGAAAATAATAAACTTAAAACATACAGAAAAATTAACAATTACTATGAGCCCGAAAGATTCTTAAAAATTAATATTCCACGTACCCACAAAAAATACTTTTGGCAAAAATGCGAATAAGTAATCACGACCTAGAAATTGAAAGAGAGCGACATACAAACCCCAAGGCACAACTGTAGGACCGAAAATGTTCCCACTGTGACAAGGTGGAAGATGAACTTCATTTCTTCCTAGAATGCGATCATCACGAAATTGAAAGAAAACTACTCTTTGAATGCATACCAGAGGTAAACTCGCAGGGTTTAACAGACAAGGTCAGACGGCCCGATTAGACAACGGATGGACACCCCGTAGGGGTTACGCAACAAGCATTCAAGTGGGTCGGCCATATTTGATCCTCGGATCTGTTAGTACTCTGTTCTGAATGCGCTCAATGCCGCCATACTCTAAGCCCTACCTTATTATGGACTGGTAAATAGTTATCTGATCTTGTGTGTCCATTTGTACTTTTGTCTAAGATAAAAAAAGGTTAATATATGGTGGTGGTGAAAAAAACGAAAAAAAAGTTCGGAGAATAAGATAAGTTTTTCACATAAAAGAAACAGAGGGAAAGCTATTTTGCCAAATGTAGGCTTTTATAACGCATTGAAACTCCTTTAGATAACATTAAAATGGCAAGAATTATCGGTGGAGATGTAGTTAAAATAATGTTTGAATTGCATCTTAGACACCGATGCTCTTTTTCTTATGTATAATTATTTTACAATTGTGGTACCATTTTTACGACCTACTTATCTAAAGTTGACATTTTATTATTGATATCATAAAATATGTCTACGTTTATATATCACAGAATATAAATATCGAAAAAAATGAAATAAATAAATAAAAATAAGAATTAGAAGATGGTACCATATGTATATATCGGTTTTAAATTGACAATTTTTAACATTTGCTCACAATGCCCCTACCTTATTTCACCAAACACATTAAGGGTCGAAATTACAGACTTGATTTTTTTTAATGTGGAATATTTTAGTTCAAAAGGTGTGTCTAGGTAATAGGTATTATTAATTGTAATAACTAAATAATCTCTGACTTCCACCTCTGAATAAACTGATCTTTGAGAAGTTGTTCCAATTCACTTGACGGAACATTTTCTTTTTGGTATAACCTTAGACTGGGCCTGCATTCCCATAGATTAAGATCGATCCATCTAGGCCGACCTAACTCCCTGGGGGTTCACGCTAAATTGCTGTCAGCCGAGCGCGCGCGGTAGTTAATTACCCCTTTACAGCTTTTAGTAGGCGGGACAGACGCTTAAGCCGGCTAAGCTGACAGTAATCTCGTGAGACTCTCCACAGGGATAGATCCATCTAAAATCTGTGGGAATGGGGTCTGGGTTCCCGTCCCTAGATCGATCTAACAGGATCGGCCCATCTCCACGGGGTCTCTCTCTAAATTGCTTTCAGCTAATACCCCCGTCACACTTATTCGGAATCAGCAGGAATGAAGAAGAATGAGCCCGAACGAAGAATTTTTAAAATTCGAACCACATTCGGGGGAAAATTTCAAATTGACCTTAATTATTGTAAGAGTACCGTTGGAATACTCAGAATGCGCTTGAATTCGCCTGGAATGATGAGTGCGTTTTCGACTGTGTAGCTCTCAAAAGCAGTTCGAATGTAGTTGGAAAACTAGGAATATTTATAATGCTGTAAGAAGGCAGTAAGAATATTTAGAATATACTTTGAACGGCGCACTAGTGTAGTTCGATTGCTGGCAAAATTAATATTTCAGCTCATCCGAGGCACATTCGAAACATTCTGGTGGAGTATAAAATCCCCGTCACACTAGAGGCGGAATGATTAAAGGTACATACGAACCGAGCATCGGTGGAGCGTGGATTCCCAGTAACACATGTAAACCACTTCTACTAGTTTCTTATACGACTCTAATAAATTCGACATGCCAAGGGATAAACTGAATAAATCACCCGATCAGCCATAAAAGAGCTTTAGAGTGATCCTTTCTTTAAATTTTTGGTTGTCAATTTAACCTACTTTCGTGACCTACTTTTCTGCCCCATTGACATACAGCTTAGAATGCTAGCAGAAAAATCTATTCAAACATCACTTTCGGGTAAAATTAAACAAGGCCTTTTGGTAATTCTCTTAGTTATACTACTTGAAACTATATGCTGGCACTTGGTTGGTTTTTATGACAAAAAATTGACTTTGTATGTATCTTTAATAATGGCGTCGGAAATACAATTCTTTGTGCATTTCAGGATATTCGAATAGCATTCTAAAAACATTCTAAAAATTCTGAGTGCATTCCAAATATTTTTACCCATTCTTGTGGCCGGCTCGAATGTTTTTGTCATGGCTTTGTAAGAATGCCCCTGGAATACTATGAATGCACATCGAACCCGCCTGGAATGATTCTTGCACATTCCAGGTATATTACCCCTCATATGCAGCTCGAATGTAGTTGAAATACTGTAGGGATATTGCGATAAATTTCCTCTTGGAATGCACTTCGAAAGTTTTTGACATGACAAAAACATTCGGAATGCCACATGAATGGGTAAAATATTTAGAATGCACTCGGAATTTTTAGAATGCTCTTCGAATATCCAGGAGCGCACAAAGAATTGTCTCTTCGACGGCATTCTTGCTCATTCCGCCTCTAGTGTGACGGGGGTATGAAGTGGCTTATGCCCCTATTTTACACAGACCACGAATCCCACGAATCGCCAAATTTCAGGATTCGTGGTTGAATCGTAATCAGTTCGTGAAGTTCTTAACAGATTCGTATATTTGTAGTCAGTTCTTGCAATTCTTGACCAACAGGAATTCGTGGCAAAAACATTGATGGCCCTATTTCACACAGACCACGAATCCCACGAATCGCCAGGAATTGACAAATTTCAGGATTCTTGGTTGAATCGTAATCAGTTCGTGACGTTCTTAACAGATTCGTATATAATCGTAGTCAGTTCTTGCAATTCTTGATCAATCGGGAATTCGTGGCAAAATTTTCAGCTGTTCAAAATTTTGGCCACGAACTCCCGATTCCAAAAAAATGGTAGTGAATTCTTGACAATATTCGTGCGATTCAAGCCGAATCCCACGAATATTCGTAACACTATCGCACCTGTATCGTAACTGAATCGTAGAGCGTGTCGAATTAGGCCAGAAAATTTGCAAAATCTCACGAATCCTCACGAATCCTGAAATTTGTCAATTCCTGGCGATTCGTGGGATTCGTAGTCTGTGTGAAATAGGGGCTGGCACGCTTACTAAAGCTGTTAAACGATTGTTTATTATTATTATCAGCTTCAGTGGGCGTGACAGACATCTAAGCCGCCCAAGTTAATTGCAATAAAGCGAGAATTCCCCTGGAGATAGTTCGTTCCAATGTTAACGATAGTCTCTGGGAAGGGTACGTACGGATAAAATTTAGTCCCAAAATATTACACGTCCCTATACTCCCGTTCCCGATAGATACATAAAGGGAAAACTGAAAAAACGTCTTTTTAGATTTAAATACCGATAGATCCGATTTTTTACCACCGTCCTATAAATTTGCGTTCCTATAGATACGACGTCCTCATAAACCCACGTCCTTTACATCCGCATACCTATAGATCCATGTATTTGTAGATCCAAATACCGATAGATCCATTACAGGTACACTATTGCTCAAAATGGTTGGTATACTACTCAGTACATAAAATGCACTGTTTAAAACGAGAGTACACATATTAATCCTATCAGCAATTTATTATTCTACTATAGATCGTTTTTACGCAATACTCGGGTAATTTACATTAGGCCTACTAATGCATTATCTGACGGAAATTTATGATTTCACTAGATGTTTTGTTTTTTTCATGTTACATTCATTTAGCTTTGATTACGAAGGCTTCTGACAGGAACCTAAGATTATATATTTTTTCATAGCGATTAATCCAAGAAAACACACACACACACACACACACACACACCCCCGTCAATTAAGAACTCGGCAAAAGTTGATGAAATAATGTTAAGAGTTTTACAAGTAAACCCTTCTTATTTTATACTGTGTATGATTTATTTGGGCATTTCATGAATGATTCTGCCTGATAACTGTCTTGTATACTTGATAGAAACCATTAGGCCTACTGTATGGTTGACAAACATACCCAAAGTTTGCAGGCAAAAATCGGCTATTTATATATATATAGAAGTTACTTACATCTTGGACATAATAACGAATTTGTGTCGTTTTTATGTCCAAGTAGTTTACATTGATGAAGTTACGTGCTTAGGGCCTACATTGCGGAATGGAGTAAATGATAGTAAACGATAGTAGGCCTAAAGACGTGTAGACGCGAACGTACATGTAGGCCTATGTCTTGTTTGAACACCTAATAAATATATAAATAAATAAATATCAGGTTGTAATTAAGTCATCTCACTGAGTGGGTCAGTACTCGCATCTCGAAAGCCTCATACCTGTATCTCAAGTTTATATCGGCATTTTAGCCGATTAATTACGATGTCAGATAGATGGATCTAGCGGTACCTGGATCTATAGATACGTGGGTTTATAGGAAACTGTTGGTAGATCTATCGGAACGTTTTAACGAGACGTAAATCTATTGAGACGTGTATGTATAGAGACGTATCTATCGGGACGAATATTTTATTGGGACGTTTATCTATATGGCGGACCCCTCTGGGAATGGTCTCTTACTTTTTTTTTTTTTTTTTTTTTTTTTTTTTTTTTTACAGCTCAAATGTTGTTCTGTGATTATGAATTTAACAGTTCAAGAACTGTTTTTAGGAAGTCCTTCAGAGTGTCCTAGAACAGATTAAGATTATTTTTCATTAAAAGAGAAAAACAATATGTTCTAGGTCAGACTGAGAACCGTAAGTGAGCGCTAAATGAGAGGGTTTATTATTATTTTTGAAAGGCATTGCTGAGAGCGTTGCTGCACTGTATCGTTTTGCGTTAACTAATTAAAATTGCAATCTGGGAATAAGTCGTAAGGAAATGTCTTTTTCATGAGATGTTTTCCCTAAAAATTCAGCCATAAAACATGGATTGTGACATAATAGGAGCACAAATTCATTGTTACTGAAATACACATTTTATCTTGTAACTTCGTGAAGACATAATTTACGTCTTGCGTTTTACTTTACCATCTGGTTTGACCTCCAACAACCACCAAAATGGCGAACATCAAGTACAGACAAGAAATGCCGCGGCCTGGCGGCTATAGTGAGCCCATGTGGCAAAAAGTTCCAAGGAAAAACTTTTCGGGTAACAAATAAGTTTATTATATTTAAGTTTAGGACAGACAAATGTCCATTTAAGTCCGCTAAGAGGCGTGGTGACACGGAGTATTCGTCTAAAACTACGTCTTGAACTTTCCAAATTCCACTTGACCGCGAGTTAAATTAAGTAATCTTTGGTATCAACACTTTCTGTAGCTCAAGTATTATGTCATCGAAGAAATATAGGTAGATTGTTATTTATAAACTATATTTAAGCTACTGAAACACGAAGATACATTAGAATTTAGATGCAATGGCTTGAACGGTTGCTTTGATCGGTTGGCGAATCTAAGAACCACATAACTTAAGTAATTTATAAAACCGTTAACAGGTGTTATAAAACGACTCTTACTTTTTAGATCGTTATAAAGCATGCCTTTTTAAGTTTTATTCTGAATGTTTATAAGTCCATGGAATTTTTCCTTGAAAAATAAAGAGTAAATCCCGTGGAGAGTACCTTTATCAGTTATGACGTTCTAAATTGTGGTATTCTTACAGTCGGTTTCCGGTGTGGCGTGATAGACCCGTGCCGTGACGAAACCGTTCTGCACATGCGCATTGAGGGTAAATAGAAAGAAGTAACTTCCGATATGACGATGACGTCCTAAGTAGGCGCTATGTTTGCACTGAACTATGATCTTTCAATTCATAATTCAGTGGTTTTCATCATGAGAGAGTATGTATTTGATAATCTTATTACTACAGTATACGGGGGAATGTGGAAGTGAGCTTTTGATCGTGACTGAACTGTTTTGCTCTGTGTGAAAAACGTCGTAGATCGTAGACTCAAATGTTTTCACTCTACAATGTTCTTTCAATTCAGAGTTCAGTCATTTTCATTAAAAAGAAATTGTGTGTTTGATAATACTACATCTCTACGGGGAAATGTTGAAAATGCATGTGCAGCTACATACTGTAAGTCAACAGACTGATACCCCCGCGTGAATAATCTGTCAGAACGGTTTATTCACGACGACGGTTTCTTCACGTGACACCGGATTACCTAACCCAGAACGAGGCTCGATTTTAGGACTAGGGTAAAACATTGGCTTGCGCCCATTACTCTTAATGTTAAAATGGCGAACTTTGATCGTTCATATCAAACAGACAAGAGGACAATTTCTTGTGACAACCACTTGGTCATATTCACTTGGGATTTTAGCGTCAGTCAATGGGCCCCAGGAGGATTTTCTAGAGCTGATGGTGATTTTATCAGCGATAATACCAACACTCCTCCGACGGGCTGCAATTTCAGTTAACATCAGATACATGTTATAATAGGCATATTTTATCATCTGTATCGCGTATATCTGTGAACAAATACGCGTGACAACTGTTTGTTGATATTCACTTATGTATTTAGCTCAGGGAAATGGCCATCAAAGAGATTTTCTAGCGTCAGGGGCGACTTTATCAACATCAGACTTGATCAGTATCACAATACAAAGTATGATCTATAAAAATCCGAATTGAATGCATATTTAACCGTCATAAATCACTTTGAATTCTTAACCAAATGCAAAATGAAAGATACAATAAAGCTTGTTGACTTTAAATTTACAATACATTTTATTTCTTTTTATAAGGAGTTATAAAATTCCCTGACGTACGCTGTAAAGTTGCATTCTAAATTAACATTTGTACAGTAAAAATGAATTGGAACTTTATGATATAAAACCTGTAAGGAATAAAAACACTGAATCCATAACGAAGATTTGATTGCTGAGTGTTTTTTTTTATAACTGCTGTAAACTTAAGCATGGGTTAATAGATTAAACTCAGCAAACAGCTCCACCCGATTGTTTCTTCAAGTTCACATGCAGGGATCTTCCTGGGTCAAAATTTGGTTGGGCCATTTTGGCCCACTTGGTCAAAAAAAGTGGGCCATTTTTAAAAAATGTGTGACGTGAATTATTTGGCAAAAAATTCATTATATTTCAATATTTTTATGTGATTAAAAACACTGAAAAAAGGCTTGATGCTATTACTCTTGAGTTCTAAATAATTGTAGTGTGTGGAAAAATCTCCCAAATTAACAATTGTACTGTCCCAAAAATTAATCATTGTACTGTGCTGAGTAATAGCACTGCATGGAAAAGGTTGACAATTCCCATTTTATTGTGAAAAAAGCCATTGCTCTAAAAAGAATTTTTATTTTTCAAAATATTTGAATTCTTTTTTAACCTGAAAACAATTAAGCAATGATCTTAGCTGAGAGAAACCCGTCTTACATATATCTATATTTACATAAAAATCTAGCAAGCAACTACATAACATTACTAAAATTAGTTGGCATATCGATTATTGTACTTATACATTAAGTCTTTGTGATTATTATTAATATTACACTGCTGCAGGGCTTAACGCTTATTTTTCAGGACACCTGTCCACTCAGGCTTACTGCTGAGTTTCAACTGTCCCCCAGCTAATTTCCACTTGCACAGTTCCTCCACCCCCACCTAAAAAAAGTGCAATTTTTTCAATATCTAAACTGGTTCCTTTAGGTGGATATAATGATGGGCAGTTTTAAATCCTGACTGTGCATCCAGTTGCGCAATTCCCGCATTGAAAACGATGTTGTTCCTCATTTAGAGACATGTAGCGCTGCTAAAGGTGCAAAATTACAAAAATAAAGTCTGTTGAAATTTAGTTAAAAGCACCCATCTAAAAAACAGACGAATATTTCTCCTTTTCATTTATCGATTACTCAACATGTGGCCCAACTGAACTGAGAATATACTTGTTTACCCAGCTTGTGTAGTTAGGTGTTCTCAGAGGTCCGTGCGCGACCTGTTTTCAGTGTTTTGAGCATTACATGTTTTTCATTGCGTACTTGTTTCAGTTTCGATAAATTTTTGTGAAACGGGTCACATGTCAGCCCGCGCAACATCGCTACACGCACTTCGAGCAACATCATTATGTAGGGAGATCTTTATTATGAAAAAAAAGTTTCTGCTATTTGTACGCGCCAAAATGGCGCAGGTTAGAATTTTACTTGCGCCTTTGAGAAAAGGCTCTCGCATTTGGCGCAATCACGCGGCCCAGGATTATCCCTGCACATGTGCATTGATAGCCTTTCTTGTGTTCTATTCTCTTGTTGAAAGTGTGCAACATCAAAAAGAAAAAGTATTAGTTATATTTTCCAATAGCACATAATTGCCATTTTCACACTTCATTATACAATAATTAAATGATTTATTGAGTATGTAAAAATTTAATTCCTGTCCATGATCTCAATCCGGTCTGCAGCTACATGGGTATTAAAAATTGCTGGAAAAAACTTGTTAAAATTCTCAAAATGGCATGTACTTTCAGTAGTAAAATCAGACGAGAAAATTGTCATTAGAGCTTTCTTTCAGCTCCCCTTTTCAAAGACAAAAACAATAACAGCACCTGTGAAGATCATATCTGATTTAGTTCTGTTTGCTACATTGACACCAACTGATAAGATCACTTTCTTCCAATTAAACCACATCAAAGGGCTCTATGACTGTTTGAAGATCCAGGTAAGTTCTGTTCAATCGCTGTCAGTGGACAGATTCAGCAGATAACAAAGCCATTGCAACTCCTTACCTGAAAAACAATCAGACCGGTAACTGCAGCTCATATAATTACAGTGTAAGATAGCATTCACAACGAGTTGAGCCATGCTTTACAAATCCTGGGGACTAAATATGGCGGTCGTACATGAAAGAAAAACCGCCTAATCTTTTAATAGTCTCTCCGCCTCTCACACGCCTCCCCGCACGTTGTCCCTGTGGGGGGACAGTCATTAAATCTCGGCTCCATTGGGACGACACATGGGGAGGCGTGTGAGAGGGGGAGAGACTATTAAAAGATTAGGTGGTTTTTCTTTCATGTACGTCCGCCATATTTAGTCCCCAGGATTTGTAAAGCCTGGCTCAATTTGTTGTGAATGCGATCTAAGAGAGGTGCCTGTCAATCGCTGATAAAATCGGTATCAATACTAGAAAGGGTCCTTGATGGCCATTTCCTGACGCTAAACACCTATGTTGATATAATTAAACAGTTGTCAAGGTTAATTATCTACCGGTGTGAAAGATACAGACGATCAAAGTTGATCATTTTAACATTGGGGCTTACCGATTGTTTTACCCTAGTCCGGCCGTGGCGGCCATCTTGTGACGTCATGCCGACTGTAAGAATGTTAAATGGTATGACTGGCAAGTTTGGGACATTTTCAAATGCAAAAATTATATCTTTATTCTTTAATTATGAATTATGATAGCATACCTTTGCATTAAAGAGAATACAAATGTCACCAATAATAGTATTAGTATAATTTTCAGCAGTAAGTGAATATATGAAATGTGTTTCTTTTTTAACAGGGTATCGTTGGTTTGCATTTGGTACAGCTGTTATGGGAGGTGCTATATATTTTCACTTACGTAATTTTGCAGCTGAGAAGTAAGTCTTGAGATTTTTAGAAGCTCTTTATTTTCTTAAATTTTGTTCTAGTAATATTTTATATATGTACTTTGTGGGTAGGTTGTCAAATCAATCTGGTACATTATAGTGAAATGAGAGAAAGTAGTTATTACACTATGTTCAGACAATAAATCTTAACTCTGAGACCCAAACTGTTCAATATAGAGCTGTCATAGTGTGTATTTCTGGAGGGATATGATCATGCATCAAGACAGGTTGTGTACTATATGCGCTGTAATATGAACCATTGAAATGCTCAGTCAATTGTTTTCAGTATGGGGCAAGTACACGCTATGGATATGATAGCCGCCTTGGAGCCTTTCTTAACAGCAGAGAAAGATAGAATGTAAGTGACCAGGTTTCACTTAGATTAGTTCAGTATAAATGTTAGGTTATGTTCCTTAAAGAGATGTAGTCATTTGGATGGACCACATCATTGTATGTAATAATAATAATATATTTATTTAAGTATAAATTCTAAATCTGTTCTGTAGACTTAGCAGTAAGGACAATTATGTTCATTAATACAGTATCAGAGCATTCACATCGAGAAGCGCTGAGGTCTAGCAAGGCCGAGACCTAAATATGGCGGACCTACATTAAAGGAACACCACGTAATCCTTTAATGGTCTCTCAATGAATGTCATTGAGAGACCATGAAAGGATTAGGCGATCAATGAATGTCATTGAGAGACCATTGAAGGATTAGGCAGTCTTCCTTTCATGTAGGTCCGCCATATTTAGGTCTCGGCCTTGCTAGACCACGGCTCTTCTCGATGTGAATGCTCTCTAAGACGCCTGGTCATTACAATCTGTGTTGATAATCTCGCCTCCCTGGAGAGGATGCAACCCCACTGCCATATGAGGTACTAAGTACTAGCAAGTTTACAATATTGTTCTCTGTCTGACCAGGGACCCTGCTTCAACCCTTATCTGCTGAGTGCCCAGCAGGTACCATTTATAAAGACTATGCTATGTCCCCGGACGGGGTAACCCCCATGCCCTCCCTTTTCGGAGGCAGACACTAATCACAAGGTCATACAACATTGGTCAAAAAGGTTGTCCCACCCCCCGTTTCATGTGCTTTTATTTATAAATGATCACATCACAGGTGCTAATTGCTATGAATGGTGATTTTCATTATACCATAACTAACATGATTATTGGTACAGAAAATACTAAGTAGCGGTTAAGATATCTATATTTAATACCACTTATTCCCATTGATTACATGTACCCTCTCACGTCCGATGTTCCAGTGTCATTTCTATAGAGGTAAAGAAATGCCCATTAAATTGAAAAGACACCACCAAAAGTCACCAAATTTACAGACATTTAGCATTAGGGTGTGCCCGTTAAAGGTCATGTGTCTATTAGTGTGTGTGGCTACCGCGGACTGTAATTATCTCCTGTAGACGGCGCCACCGCCTTCAACAGGGGTAACATTTCTGTTTTGTAGGATTTTGCCCCGTGTTTCCTAAAAAGCTTGGCGGAATTGGTCAGGACTAGTTGGGGTTTGGTTCTCCTCTGGATCGCACACTTTAATTCACGCCACGGGTTCTCAGTAGGTTTATTATCAGGATTCAAATATGGTTTCTCCGGTCTCAGAACAAATCACTCACCACATGAGAACTGTTTGCAAGTGTGCTGTCATGATGGTTTTAGTGCATTGTTCTTTCCGGAAAAGAACGTTATTGGGGCAATTCACTGAAACGTTCTCAACAAATATCTAACTCCATTTGCAAAAGGTGACTTCAGGGATACTGCAGGCGTCATTGTGGAATTCCACATGCTCACTACTCTCGTCTGCTGAGTGATTTGTTGCAGAAACCCAATGTTCAGAGGATAGAGCAACCACCTTTGAGCCATGTTATTAACCTTACTAAACATCTGTGGCATGAATTGAAGTGTGGAATGGAAAGGAGGACCGAATTCCTAGTAATCTGGACCAACTCCCCCAAGCTCTTTAGGAAGAATGGAACAATATCCCATAAAACAGAATTGTTACCCCTGTTGAAGGCAGGCCGCGCCACCTACAGGAAGTAATTACAGTACGTGGTAAACACAAACCCTATTAGACAAGGAGCCATTAACGAGCACAGCCTAATGCTAAATGTGTGTAAATTTGGTGACATTTGGTGGTGTCATTTCAATTTAATGGACATTTCTTTACTTCTGTGAAAATCACAGTGAAACGTCGGATGTGAGGGGGTACATGTAATAAATGTGAATAAATAGTATTAAATATTGATATCTTCACCGATAGTTTGTATTTTCTGTATCACTGATCATGTTACTTATGGTATCTGTAATGAAAATCACTATTTATAACAATCTTCACCTGTGATGTGATCATTTATAAATAAAAGCACAGGATACTGAAGGTGGGACAACCTTTTTGACCAATGTTGTATGGTCAGTTCATGTCATCTGTATCTGCTAGATATGGTTTGATGTTCTTTAATACTACATCTCAAGTCGTCTCATGTCAAATCTTTGCCATTTAACTTCACCAAATGCCACTATATAGTTTCAAATATGAGTTAAAGAAATACCAAACGGTATTGTTTCATGTTTCCCTAATTATGATATTTGAACAGATATTGTCTGCTCTCTTTCTGTGTTATAAATATTCCCCTCGGTCGTTTTCCCCAAACCAAATTTAAATTATGGGAATTAATGCTATTGTGCAGGCAGCATTACTACATCGTTTGGCAGACTTTAACGCCATGTTACCGTTACCGCTTCTCCTCCTAGACTACAAGGGCCTGCGTACCCATCTCTTGGATTTAGGTCACCTATAATCTCAACTCGCTCCACGTAAAATTTGGGCTTCATCGGTTTAGGGGTCTAGGTGTGGCGCTCATTGCAATGCACCCTTGTCCAAAATTGGCAAAATTAAATGCTAATTATCTACCATACCAAATGAATTATGGGAAAAATTTCTACAGACGGCTATCTGAAAGCCTCCTGTGTAGATTTCAAATATGCCCTTGGATTTGACCTTTGACCTTTTTTTCAAGGTCAAATGGGCCAAAAATTTCAAAAAAACTAAATTTTTTTACGAAAAAAATTTATTTGCGCTAATATTCAGAAACTACTCAGACCTAGCCTATAATATTATTGGCAGGTGTTACCCTTCAGGTCATCTTTCATCTCCGTGAGTTGGGGTCAATCAGTGCATTTTCACTGGAGTAGCGGCATAAGTTACCGAAACTGAAAACTGTCTCTAACTCGGGAACCGTTGGTGCTAGAGACCTGTTCTTTTTTGCATTTTGTAGAGCATGTCAAGCCCAACACTGAAAGTGGTCTCTTTTTTTTATTTCCATACGGTTTACGAGTTATGCTGTATCAAAAAGTACATTGTGGTGGTGAAAGCAAAATGTGCAATACAGTAACGTATTATAAATTTTGAACTTCTGGAAAATAAAACATAAGGGTTGGCGAGGCAGACAACTTCTGGTCAAAAATGACATTATTTCATGAAATTTGAACATCTGGAACTTCTGAGCACCTCCCATTTCAAGAATTTCAACCAAAATGACCTTTTCTTTATTTCAATTAATTTCTTCTGTAGGAAATTTATGGCACATTATTGTAACTCCAAAATTGTAACATTTAGTCTCTTAAATCTCCAAAACTGGCAGAGATAGGCCCATAGTTACTATTGAAGTTGAATAGGAAGTCATATGCTGGGAATTTAACTGCGACCTTGAAATTGACCTTTGACCTACTTTTAACTATGAACTGACCTTTGCAACATTTAAGTCCCTTATATCTCCAAAACTGGTAAAGATACACCCATAGTTACTATTGAACATGAATAGAAAGTCATATACTGGCAATCTAACTGTGACCTTAAAATTGACCTTTGACCTACTTTTCGCCATAAACTGAACTTTGCAACTTTTTTAATGCATATAATTTCAATACTGGTAGAGATATGCCCATAGTTACTATTTCACATGAATAGGAAGTCATATGCTGGCTATCTAACCTTGACCTTGAAATTGACCTTTGACCTACTTTTTATGATGAACTGATTTTTATATGTTTTCTGCCTTTAAATCTCCAAAATTGGCAAAGAAATGCCCATGGTTATTATTGAACTTGAATAGAAAGTCATATACTGTGACATTGAAATTGACCTTTGACCTACTTTTTCACCATGAACTGAGCTTTGCATATTTTCTTGCCCCTCATATCTTCAAAACTAGTAGAGATATGCCCAGTGTTGCCTCTAGGTTTTTTCTATTGTCAGCATATATGCAACATTTCAAGGAAAACCAATAGGCCTATTGTCTAGAGAATCACAGGATTGAATAATGTTAGGAAAATACAGGTCAATTCGAAAATCTGCTTGATTGTACCATTTTTAGTTAAATTTTTTTGCATATTTTGAGAGCTCTTTTTGATTGTATTTTATAGAGCTTATCAAGCGCAAGACTGGTGTTGGTGTCCCTTTTTTGGGGGGTTTTCCATATGAATGCGCTTACTCCAGCTGGTGGTACAATATCCGGAGGCGGTATCGCCTCTCTGATCCTCTAGTTTGAGTTGTGTGAGATACTGGAAGTAGTGATTTACTAGTATATCCATTACTGGAAATCTGCTCACTTCATTTCAAACTTTGATATTTTTATTTATTTATGTGTGATACTTACCTTACCCTTAAAGATACGTATGAACTCAATTTTTTGCTACAAATTCAACCAAATGCCACCACATAGTTTTAAATAGCATAACTTAGAGAAATACCAAAAGACATCGTTTTATATTACTTGAAAAATTTGAACAGATTTTTCTGCTTGTTTTCTATGATGTATATAAATGGGGAAGATAAGTAGGTCAGATCAGTAGGTAAAGTTCATGACCAAAACTTTAAAGGTGCAGTTTAAAACTCTTTTTATGGCTGATCTAGGGTTTAATTTGGTTTTCCCCTTGGCATATCGACTTTATTTGAGCCGTATAAGAAACTAATAGAAGTGGTTTATATGTGTTACTGGGAATCCGTGTCTCACTGTTGCTTGATTCATATGTACCTTTAAATTGGCTTGCAGGATTTTGAAGCAACTGGTGAAGAACAGAGAGGAAGAGGCTGAATTAATGAAAGACGTGCCAGGTTGGACAGTGGGTACCTACTATGGCAAGCCAGTTTACAGGAACCCTAACAAGCGATGGGTAATACCAAGTGGGATTGAATTTTATGCTCACCGGGACTTGTTTGGAAGCAATGAAAGTATCAGAAAAAGGATCCCAATATATGACGAGGCTGGAAATGTGGAAAAGTGGCTCAGGAAGCCTCATCGCAAGCATACAGTCTTGATGGATGAGTCTCCTGAATATGGGGATAGTCCAGTTAAAGACATGGTTGATATACAAGTGTATCCAAAAGCTCCATATTAACATTTTTTTTAAAAGTTGAGTTATGATGTAATTTATATGATAAATTTCATTGCTGAAAGTCTCTTGGAGTTACCTTGCCATGGGAATGGAAAAAGATGACATTATTGCACTGTTGACTTTTTGTTTTGCACGAGTGTCATGCAAAATTGAAATAATCTAGGCCATTGGTAAATGTTACATGATACTGTTGTAATCATTAATTACTCTGGATGATGTATTTTTTTCAGTAACAATAAAATAACTTTAGAAAAAAACATTCATTTGACTTTTATTCATAACATATATACTAGTATATACACAATATGATTTTTCAAAGTTTCATAATAATCTAGTCCTGATAATCCTATACAACTTTTGTCTTTTTTCAAGAACAGTTTTCCCTTATCATATTTCAGCATAATCCTGGGTATTGGTTCTTCACATAGATGGGAGAAAGAGACCCATCTCTGAAGTTGAATTTATACATTTAATGTCCCTAAAGGCACAGAACTCCGCTGTAACTTTCCAGAGTCGACCAAAACTTGCTTCTCCATTTTCTTTGGAATAAACTGAATGTTGTGTGTTGTAATAAAGTCTCTCTCTCCTTTTAATGGTGGCTTGATGTGGGTTTCTCGTAACTAAAGAAAAAAAAGGGGCCACAAATTAAAATTGGAATCGATACAGAATCGAGACTTAAAACCTATTATTTTTTCATAAGATAATTTGAGCAAATAAAAACGCTTTGGTGATAAATTATGTATATTTTGGAAAACTGACATCTATCACCTTGATGAGTTGAAGTGAAAATGCTCATTTTGTACAAGTACTAATTATTTCATAAGGGAAAAAATTATTGAAAAACTTACATTATCGACAGCCTTGGGATCTGGAATCATTCTTTTCTGTTTTGGATCTTGATAATCACTATAGTAGGTAGGGTTGGTCAGTTCATTACCTGTAAAGAGATTTAAGGGTTTTCTTACAGAGTGATTGGGAATGAGCCATTTCCGCTTTAAAGTAAAACATGGATGACACATCCTTGATTATAAAAAAAAGCCAGTTTCAATGATTATGAGTCAATTGCCCCAGTCATGTGCCCCTGTCATAATATTTTTGTAGAATTTTCAGATTTGGAATATATTTTTTCAACTTACCATAATAATTTACAGGTATTGCACTTTGAGTATGGAAGTTGGACCTGTTGTATGAGTATGGGACGTTCTTAGGTGAGAATTCATCACCCATGGTTGTGTCATAAAACCCACTGTTCATCCTGGGTTCTCCAAACCACACATTGCTCTCAGTCCTTTTGTTAGCACCTGAGACAACTGGGTTAGAAAACCCATATGGGTACTGGAGCAAAAAAAAATGTTTATTTATTTCATGTATGCACCAAATTGTAAATATGACTTGTTTGAAGAGCATAAAAAATTAATTTTCAGTATTATAGTACATTGGCATGTCTAGTGTACCACATACAACTTATAGGGAATTGTTTTACAAAAAGAACAAAAGCAAAATTAATCTCTATATTTCAGATTATCTGAGTTATGAAAAATAGTACCTGTCCATGGTAGTATCTGCTAGTTGTCATATTAATCCTGTCTGCTATACGCCCAGGATTAGTGTCGCCCTCAGGAAGGTCACTTTGATTACGATGGCGGTCTGGCTTGAAACGGTCCACTAAAAATAAATAATTTTTACAAACCCCATCATCAAAGAGAATGGGTAACAGAAGAATGCAACACAGTTACACAGAAAATATCTGCATAACAAGTATGTTACTGGATAAAAGTAACAGTGTGGATTAAGATAAGTGTTTTTTTTAAGGGATAATAACTCTTCGTATGAGATCTATATTTCACAATAAAAACATAATGAATAACTCATACAAAAATAATATTCTGTTTTACCACAAAAACGGCAGTTATAGCTATTATTCTGATATCTGAGCTTGTCTTTAGACCACGTGACCTCCATTGATGGCTACACTCTGTTACAATCTCTTAAGAGATTTTAACAAAAAACCAAACTTTTTAGAAAAAAAAAACGGGGACTAACTTTGAATGTAAAAATGGATTCATTAACCATTGGCAAGTATGGGAAAATTGTTGTTTACTCCAGGAAAATTCATTTTTTGGCCAAAACAGAGTTATTATCCCTTTAACTTTTCATGCCTAGTGCCTTGGAAAAATACTGTTGTGCAGTCCAAAACAAAACTTGAGAAATGGGGCATATGACAGAAAAAGATAACTGGGAAACAAACTAAGAAAGATGTTACTTTAAATGCACCCAATCATAAATGACTGTCACTCCTTTGTATAAGTGGTGGGTCACTTTTCATTGTTTCACCTGTGCACACCTAATTACTTTCTTTGCACTATATATTGCACACATCTGGAGCATTATGCCTATTTATTAAATCAAATTTTCATTACTGGTATATATTCTACATTTCCTAACCCCTAATCAAAAATGCTGCTTACTACTCATTGGTTTCACTTTGTAAGAGTCCTCCTGAGTACTCTGATACGTATCCCAAGTTTTGTGCCCATCATCCAGTCGAAAGTGTGTGTGCTGAAGCATCTCTTGTACAGCCTGTTTACTGTATGGCTGCCTTTCACCATTCTGTGTTGGATAGGATTGCTGCATTGTGGACTGGTAGGTGGCTTCCTTTTCTTGGTCACCTTGTGGTATATTAGTACCCACAGGCTAAAAGAAATCAAACTTGTCATCATTATTTCACAAACAAGTTCAAAAGATATCCTTTATTCTGACAGAGTTTAGTGCATATTTTAATAGTCACTCCACCATACTTGTCTGGATTGATGTGCACTTCATTTACTTTTCATTTCAATTTTTTACTCTAACATACTTATTAAAGATACATGACTTTTTTTGTAAAAGAATTTTAAGCACATCCAAATCTTATGTGTATATAAGGTACTCACTGCTGGATATGCAGGAAGTTTCGGTAAAAAAGTTCCAGTGAAAACATCTCCATGTGTTGGTCTGTAGTGATGCAGTCTGTTATCTCCAAGAATTGTAGCTGGACCCCCTTTCAACAAAATCAAAAATATGTTACAAAAAGAAAAGGAAGCATGTCAATAACATAAGAGTTGGTTAATTACAGAACAATTTTTCTTTTGTGGCATTTTATGGAACTTTGCTTATTAACAAAAGACATGCTCTTTCAATATGACAAATCTCTATTTCTTACCTATATGTTGAGAAGGAGCCTTTTCTATTTGAAATTTCCTGGTGTCATGACCCCTGTATCTATCTCTGTAATCTGACATTGGTTGGGGTGCTTTTTCTATATCCCCCTGAGGTACATTGCTCTTCATAGGGTTTTGTGCTGGTTTGGCCATAGAAAAAGAAGAACCTTGCCTTGGTGGATAATACAAATTATTAGTTGTGTGGAATGCTTCGAATTTTGATAAATCCCTGTCCATCTTGAAATTGGTCCTTTGCAATGTTTCCTGTGCATTTTCCAACTTTGGTTTGGTCATAGATGTGTATTGGTATGATTTAACAGTCTCGGAAGCTTTTTCATTGAAGAATCTGGCATCTTGATGCATCAGCCCAGCAGGAGCTGGGGGAATAGCAGCGCCTGGTTTTGATGTTGTATTATGGGGAATATAATCTTTCCTGAAAGTTGTCTGCATGGAAGGAAGAATTGCTGCTGGATCTTGTGAAATAGAGAAATGTGATGAAGCTAAAAACTCTGCTCCAGATTTCTGAGTGGTCACCATATTTTTAACTGAGGCCACTCCTGCCATGGTTGGTGGATTTCTTGTACTTTTTCCAATGCACAATATACTGAAACGTATCATCACATGACAATTATAAATAAATTATATGCAATTTACTGTAATTACCTAAACTACACAATTATGATTGATAAAATGTTTCTAACAAATCGTCTTGGTTTAAGATCTGATTAATGTTTGTTATGTTCTCCTTTTTCTCAAAACATTAGTCTTGAGTTTACATTTTTAAAAACGTGTTAAAATTACAAATGTACATGCTACAGTACTCCTTAAACCACAAAGTTGAAACAAAATAATAATTACTGCTCTGATAAGCATTTGTTGTGCCAAATTTACTCACCAAAGATACCTAATCAAGGAGGATTAGTAACACGTTCACTTTATCTGCGTACTGCTACCTGCTAATGCTACCGACAGTTCAATACTCTCGGATTAGTCAACACACTAGCGTATTTGTGTATTATAAAGTAGCGTGTCCAATAGCAACCCGTTTCAAACCTCCTGTAAAAGAGAGTTCTTTTCCTTCTTTTTAAAAAGAAGTACTTAAAGGTACTTCCGGTGTGATGGACTAATTATGCCTTGCTGGCAGGGAATACAATGTTGAAAACTGGCAAAAATATCAATTAAATTTAACGTTCGAAATGGCATCAAAAGTGGAAACTAACTTCATGCGTCTTCTAAGCCGCTGTGAGACCATGGCAGCAGAGAAGACGAGAGACTGGAGGCTTGAAAAGGTAATACTGACATGTAAGTGTCACATTAATTTAAATGTGTCATGTAGTACTGGCAGTACAACATAATAGCTCATAACAGCAACTAGGGGTGCTTTCCCAGAGATTTAGATCGATCTAAAGATTAAGTTTTAGATCGACCTAACTCCCTGGGGGTTCACGCTAAATTGCAGCATGGACATAATAAGAGAAGGACGAGTAACGCGGCATCTTCCTTTGAAGCTATGTGCGTTCGGGTAAACATTCGCCCATTGTCTTAGATAAGCTGTTTTGATAGCTCCACGGGAGCCTGAACAACTTATTATCAAGGTAGCGCGCGCTGTGCCTCATTGAAATCCTTTTGTTCTATTGCATGGATAACGCAATTTCTCGCGGTCCCTCGTGGTTGCTATGACACAGCATTGCCTCCATCTTGTAATTGCTAACACATAGACTTGCGTCAACAAGTGGAAATTTGTTTCGGGTTTTCAGTTTCTTTTTCCTGTTACCTAATTAAAACGGGCTCTGGCCTTTGTCTATACTTGTTATTGTTTCCAAGATTGTATTGATATATGTCGAACTGATATATAACTGGTTTAAAAGCATGTTGACTAATAAAGCCAGGTAGGTGCTATCCAAACGTATCTGATAACAAGATAATGCAATGTAGCAAGCCAATTACAGAGGTGAGTTGTGATCAAGATCCACTTTTATGACCATTACCCAAGTAGGCCTAAATATATTCACGAAGTTTGCATGTGTACATGTCCACATTTATACTTGAATTAAAAGACCAATGAGGGTGTTTGTCAATCGTCTCTATGCTGTATAGGGACTCCAATTTAAAGATGAAAAACTATTAATTTTCACTCTCAAAGTGGAGCAGACTGTAGAATATATATATATATATATATATATATATATATATATACTTCAGAGCAGTGTTAATNAAAGTTGAAACAAAATAATAATTACTGCTCTGATAAGCATTTGTTATGCCAAATTTACTCACCAAAGATACCTAATCAAGGAGGATTAGTAACACGTTCACTTTATCTGCGTACTGCTACCTGCTAATGCTACCGACAGTTCAATACTCTCGGATTAGTCAACACACTAGCGTATTTGTGTATAATAAAGTAGCGTGTCCAATAGCAACCCGTTTCAAACCTCCTGTAAAAGAGAGTTCTTTTCCTTCTTTTTAAAAAGAAGTACTTAAAGGTACTTCCGGTGTGATGGACTAATTATGCCTTGCTGGCAGGGAATACAATGTTGAAAACTGGCAAAAATATCAATTAAATTTAACGTTCGAAATGGCATCAAAAGTGGAAACTAACTTCATGCGTCTTCTAAGCCGCTGTGAGACCATGGCAGCAGAGAAGACGAGAGACTGGAGGCTTGAAAAGGTAATACTGACATGTAAGTGTCACATTAATTTAAATGTGTCCAGTAGTACTGGCAGTACAACAATATCGACCTAACTCCCTGGGGGTTCACGCTAAATTGCAGCATGGACATAATAAGAGAAGGACGAGTAACGCGGCATCTTCCTTTGAAGCTATGTGCGTTCGGGTAAACATTCGCCCATTGTCTTAGATAAGCTGTTTTGATAGCTCCACGGGAGCCTGAACAACTTATTATCAAGGTAGCGCGCGCTGTGCCTCATTGAAATCCTTTTGTTCTATTGCATGGATAACGCAATTTCTCGCGGTCCCTCGTGGTTGCTATGACACAGCATTGCCTCCATCTTGTAATTGCTAGCACATAGACTTGCGTCAACAAGTGGAAATTTGTTTCGGGTTTTCAGTTTCTTTTTCCTGTTACCTAATTAAAATGGGCTCTGGCCTTTGTCTATACTTGTTATCGTTTCCAAGATTGTATTGATATATGTCGAACTGATATATAACTGGTTTAAAAGCATGTTGACTAATAAAGCCAGGTAGGTGCTATCCAAACGTATCTGATAACAAGATAATGCAATGTAGCAAGCCAATTACAGAGGTGAGTTGTGATCAAGATCCACTTTTATGACCATTACCCAAGTAGGCCTAAATATATTCACGAAGTTTGCATGTGTACATGTCCACATTTATACTTGAATTAAAAGACCAATGAGGGTGTTTGTCAATCGTCTCTATGCTGTATAGGGACTCCAATTTAAAGATGAAAAACTATTAATTTTCACTCTCAAAGTGGAGCAGACTGTAGAATATATATATACTTCAGAGCAGTGTTAATGTCAACTTTGATAAAAGAATATTAAAAGGCCCACAAGTGCGTTTTTGTGCGTAACGAATGCGTGTGTGGTGCCATATTGCAACGAGAGCCCATATTGAAAGTTAAAAAAATAATAATTATCATTCTCAGACTGGAGCAGACCGTAGCCGGTAATGTGTAAATATATATATACTTCAGAGCAGTATTAATGTCAACTTTGATAAAAAAATATTAAAAGACCCACAGGTGCGTTTTTGTGGGTCACGAATGCGTGTGTGGTGCCCTATTGCAACGAGAGCCCATATTGAATGTTAAAAATATTAATTATCATTACATAATTCGGGCTCACTTAAGCAAGTAACATAAACCTATTCATATAGCACACATCAGTGTAAATGCCACCTTTATCTAACTCGTACGTAAAAAATACCAGACCTAAAACGATGTCAGCGAGTTGAATAAATCGGAGAGGAATTGCGTCATTTTAATTCAAGACACGATTGAAGGTTTCATTATTGCCGCGTCTCAGGCTAATTTCTCACATAGAGAGAAAAGTTTGACACTAAAAATATTTTCCAATCGGATCATAGTTGAAAACAAGTATACTACACTACAATTGTACAATTTTGAATGCTCATTTTACGACAACAAACAAGATTGCCTTTACCACATAGGGCATTTTGAATTCCTCCATGAATAAACATATCAAATTCTCACATAGTTTCCAAATTGACAGAACAAATTGTACTTATACTTCATCTCTATAATTTTATTGTCTCATCCACCCGAAAGATTGACTCACGTTATCGCGAACTACCTGCCCAAATGACACAAAAAGTCATCGACAACTGCGATATGCTCGCTACCTGTACGGGAGGTCGCGTGATCCGAACGCACATGGTTTCGCGAAGAGCTCACATTAAGACGATTATCCTTTGATCTTGCTCCGCGTTACTCGTCCTTCTCTTATTATGTCCATGATTGCAGTCAGCCGTGCGGTCACCGTAGTTAATTACCCCCCTTACAGCTTTTAGTAGGCGGGACAGACGCTTAAGCCGGCCAAGCTGACAGTAATCTAGTGAGACTCCCCACAGGGATAGATCGATCTAAAAATCTATGGAAATGGGGTGTAGGTGACGAGATGTCGACTTCTTGTGTTTACTGAAGAGCTTCCACATGCATTTTGCATGCACTCTATAGCTCTGATTTTTAGAAAAAATTGAAATAAGACCTTTAAGTGGACATTATAGGTAACAGCTATTTTTGTGTACTCAGTATATTGCTCCCACTTAATCTGCTTTGACTTTTACACTTAAAATGAATGTGTGATGAGTAGATGTTAATGCTTGAAATAAAAAATTAACCACCCTCCCAAAGTCATCAAAATAAAATTTGACTTTTCAGTATATTGATGCACTGCAGAACCAGTTGGGAGAACTGAGGAGATCCCCCAGGTATGGCATGTTGCATCTAAATACTGGGGTAGTGCTAACACTCGCCAATTAAGCCAAGTGCTAAAACTGACTTAAACTGGCTAAACAAAATAGGGATGATTTGATTTGTTTTAGTCAAATTTAAAGCATATGGAGGAAAAAGTGATGAAAAAGAAGTGATTTGGCTAAGCGAAAAAAAATTGCTAGCACTACCCCAGAAATAGATATTATTATTCCAGTGTGAGCTGAAAAAAGTTTAGAATTTTTTCCAATTAGAGTACACCATAATTATTCCTACAAAGAGCAGGATTGCAAGTGCTTCATTATTATTTTGCAATGAATACAGTAAGGTGAGTCTTTCATTAATTCATTCATCACTTTGCTTTTGTCACATTTAGATTTCTCCTCCATATTATTGTGATGTAAAATTGTCTTTTCAGTGGCTTACAACCAAAAGAACTGTTAAATTATTCTTGTTTTATAATCTTATTCAGTAAACCTAACCAAGAGGTGCTTGCAAATTACAACAGAAAGGTTGAGTTTCTTCGTGGCTTACTTGAAGCAGAAACAATGGTGAGATTATTTACACAGTAGCTTACGTACTTATGCTGACTTTAGGAATAAAGCTTCTATGAAACATAATTTTTGTTTAATGAATGATAAAAAGATCATGTTAAGGTTTTTGAAATACCACATTTTACTTTATGCTAGCACCTTTCAATAAAATATGCGATTTATTGTCCCTTTATTTTTAGTTAACTTCCACGGATAAAGCTGCTGCTACACAGAAATTAAATCCAGGCAGAAACAGTTCTCATAATTGTAGCACTCCACAAACAAAAGAGCTGCATCTTCAAGCTAAGGCCCGCTATGAAAGTGAAATGAGAGATGAGCTTCTGGGGAAATCAAGTAAAAGTGGTTTCTTTTATTAACTTTACTTATATTTACCAATCTTGCACTCTCTCTTTTATAAGGAAGTGTTTGAATTAAGCAACAAATCAGATTTGAAATTACTGTTCAACACGCATATTTGTACATGAGCAAATGCCTTTATGCAAATGCTGATATATTCTTTGGCACTGTCTACAGGAGGTTTTTTTCAGCTATATTTTAATCATCATACATTAATTTATTACATATTTATGTACATTGAAGACAACTTGACCAATCTAGCTGATTCAGACTTCTGGAGATTGCCTGAATTCAGCAAAGTTCACTATAGTCAGTAAATATTATTCTTCTGTTCTCCAAGGTTATCAAAGGGTGATATGTTGATGGGAAACAGAGGGTTTACATTTGCTTTTCGATCTTATCTAAATAAGACTAAAGGTAGAAAAAGGTTGATCTAATATAGGTAGTCCTATGTACAATTTTAGCATGTTCTAGAATGTCTATGATATTATATAATTCATAAATGCATGATATCATTGTATTTATTATTAAATTCTATTCCATTCTTGACAAATTAGGTCAGCAGGATAAGGGTGGTGTGCGTCAGAGAAAAGCAGTTGAAGAGGAGGAGGATGATATTGATGCAGTAATGCAACAACATCACAAAATGCAACAAAAGATTGCAGATGAGANTATACATATCTTATATTTGATCAAAAGCCTATGAAAATAGATTTTTAAATCTCTAAAACAAAATTACTTTTAGGTGCAAAAATCGTTTATTTCGACTCACCGCTTAAGTAAAATTTTTTAACGTCCGACACTTCCTTAGCATTGTAGGCTACGGTCACTTTGCAAGAGTATGTGGCCAATTTTTTTTACCTCGTAGTTACTTTTTCATAAATTGACGGGGGGCCAACTTACCCCGGGGTCCAACTAGCCCCGGTCTCCCCTATGTCTTTTTACTTTAAGCAACTACACAAAGCACAAAGCTGAAATGACGCAACAAACGAAACCATTAAATATTGTCACAGAAAAGCAAAGTGTGTATAAAAACGGCCAATACATTATCTTAAAAGTGGTTTTTAATACTTCTAATTATTATCTATTTTGACCTGGGATTTAACATATGTATTACTGCGAACATAATTTATTATCGTGAATTTATTTATTATTTATCTATTTTCCTCTTGTGGGTAATTATCCTGTGCCTTATTCCCTTATTCTTTCTTACGGGTGAACACACACCATGCCATAGAGTTGCTGTGTACAAGTGCAGCGACCCATTTTGCCATATTTAACCTCGGCCTCGAGCTGATCACTTGGCATGTCGAATTCCACAAGAATTTCAGGGAAGAGGTTCTTGGTGATCGTGTACGCCACTAACTCAACCAACTCCACACAGTCTCACCACAGCGGTGTGCGGAACTCATGGCACGACTAAGGGAAATAATGTAATTAAAAATCTGGTAGTGCTTAATTATATAAACCATATTTCTGGAAACAAGCAAACAAGTAAACAAAAATTTAACAAACTAAATAAATGTATAAATAATAAGCGGAGATATATAAATAAAAAAGAATGAAAGAAAGATAAGAAAAGAAAATAATGAAAAGAAAAATACTGCAAATAGGGTGAAAATTATTTCCTACCTGCAATTTCACAAAAGTCAATTATTATAAACAGAATGTGACTAAAATATGATGAACATATTAAGTCTTTAGTTTCTTATATATTGTATACCTTAAATCACTCAACAAGCTGACGTCGGAATAGTTCTTTTACCTCCTCTCGCCTATATTTTAATTTACTTATTTAAATAATCCTGGGGACATTGCGCTCTCTACGGCGTATTCATTGTTCGACAGCTATACTTGATCACCAGTATGATGATTGACGTTTGTTTATATAACTGCCAATCAAGCCATCCACTTTTAATAGCTTTGATTGGCACCTCTCAATCACAGGAAGTAAAAGCTCCGTTGCAGGATGATTGTGATTGACGTTTGTTTAACTAACCGTCAATCAAACTGTCAAATTTGATAGCTTTGATTGACACCAATCAATCACAGGGGATAAAAGTTCTTTGGCGGTATGGATGTGATTGACGTATGTTTACTCAAACTGTCAAATTTGACAGCTTTGATTGATATCTATCAATCACAAGATGTTAGAGTTCTTTTATTCTACAGAGAAATTGTAGGAGCCGTCCGCACTGGAAAAATTCCCCCAGGACTGGAATTTTTAAGGCAAGAAAATAATAAAGCTTGATGAAAGTATTGATCAAATAGGCCCATGATCATTAATATAAAGCGTGTTATTATATATATGTAAAATTTTACAAGGAATTAGCTTCTTAGAAAGAAATAGCTTCTCGATCCTGGACAACGTCTCGACGTGAATTCCCAGAGAAAAAATATATCGCCTGCAGGGCCTCAAGTACGGTTATCACTGTTATATAGTACTCTTTTTTCATATAAATGAAATTCATGACATTTGGACACTTTTGAAATAGGTGCATTCAGGACAAAATGTTTCGAGCATTAGAAACATTTTATAATGACACACCGGAGAAATTATAAGATAAATGATCATATCAGCGTCCTGTCATTTATCGCTGTCTTCACTAGCACAATATGATGAAATTCATGGACACCGTCACAATCATGTTGAGATAGAGGTCAAATACTGTAGCATTAAAACTGTTGTAAGTCAACTTCCTCTATTCTCCCGGACCATTACATACCTGTCAACATTGACAACTGCCAGAGAGAAAGATTCCCGCGCATGACCTACATGTAGGTCTCCCACCCCGACACACACACACACACACACACACACACACACAAATTTTTTTTTTATACTTTGGAAAGTAACGCCTCGGTTAGAAATGTGTTGTTAGCAGTTTGCTAAGAAAATAGTTTGACTATACATTTAATGATATAGAAAAATCAAACCGGCAAATCAAGAACTTTATTATATTCCAATTCAAGTCTTTCAATGTTTCAAGAATTTAATCGGCTGTTTTACAAATTGGTCATACTAACAGCCTGTTTTTATCAATAATTAAAACAAGTTAATATATGCGCTCCGATATTTCAGTCTTCGTTCTCCGTTATGTGGCTTTTATCGAGTATTCGGCTTTTTGCACACCTCAGGTAGAGGTGACACTCACGTCCTTAGCCCAACTTTCTATGTTACTGGAACATTTTTGAAATATTGTTGAGATTTCTTTGTGAAGTCCCAAATATCTCATTTCGAAAAAAAAATCATTTTTTAATTAAAAAACTTATCATTCTGTCCTTCAAACCGCAATCTGTACGGTTCTTTTTATCCCATTACCTATGGGGATAGTTCGGCAGAAGCACTAAATCTCATTCATTAGCACTTCTGTCTTATGTTTTCTGATGTATTCTGGATAATTGCACAAATAGGCCCTAGTGCATATATGAAAATGTGCAATATTTCGTGCAAGTAGGCAAACATACTTGATGTAATAATCGCCGACAGTTTGTGTAGTTCAAAAATAGCAAACTTTGACTTCACGTAAATTCTGTCGGCACTTAATGTTCCATCTGTTACTGACAGTAGGACACATACTGTCACGGCGTAGGGATTTTAAGTCGTTTTTTCACGCGCCATTACGTTGCGTCGCGTTCGTTGTGTGTAAAATCGCTAATTTCAATGAAAAATGCCGATAATTTCTTTCTCTTTTAATTTTTTGAAATTTCAATTTCAAGACATGATAGACGAGTATGTAAGCTTCAATTTTATTCATTGGGACAACATTTCAGAGGAAGAATTTGATAGAGTAAATCAGCGCTAAATTATAACGCCACGGTGATTTTCTAGCATAACAACAGCATAACATTTGCTGGAACTTATTTTAATTTTAGTTCCTTTCGTAGCGTTGACGCTTTGCCAGTTAATTTTCTAGTGTTGCGTTTTTAGTAATGGCGCTCTTTCTCAATAGACGTCATCTTTGAATTAGAAGTCCATCTTTGTGAATTACTAGAGTTGAAACATACGGTAGTTACATAAGTAGAAAAGATAAATCTGAACAGGGTATTTAGAGACAAAAGTTGTAAATGTTTGTATAACCTGGTGTGTTCAAGTTAAAGGACAACAAGTAAACACCCGAACGCAGTCAAAACTCAAT